GCGTGCTGGTGGTTCCGTGCTTACGGGTTTATAGACGAAATCCTCTATTACGTCTCCCAACCGCACTTGACCCCTGAACGTTGTTGGCATTCGCAACAGGTGGTACAGGATTTCAACCATTCCAAAATGTTTGCAAAAAGAGCCTCGGAAAATCCAATCTTGAATACGGAGCGCAAGGGTGTTGTAACCATTGCGAAAGCGGTGCATGTTTTCGCCGGTCAACTGTATGAAACGTAGGAGAAGCAAAGCCGGCTAGCAAGAAGAACGTTGCATTCATAAACCACACCAATCCACGGCGCCTACCAAAAGATCAAGAGCCAGCACGATCAAGTTGGAAGGGTCGGTCATATCCACGGAGTGCATTGGATGCTCTGAGCCCCGGACAGATCGTTGCTGCTCAGCAAGTTCTCCCTTTCTTCACTCGGCGTGTCGCTGGACAGTACAAGAAGGCTTGGACCGTCGAAGCTGTCTTTGCAGGGGCTGGTTGCAGCCAAGCGCATAAACCACTCCTCAGTCGAAGCCAAACTCGAGACCAACTGCTTGTTGAGATGTGCTCACAGCATCCCACAGCAAACAAGCTAGGCGAGGCACTGACACAATGCCGCATGGTGTTTGCCCCTGTGGTGCCAAAGTCATATCCGAAATGTTGCACTTACTGTCCTTTTCACATATGGCCATGGGTCAAAACCCGGTACCCCCAGTGAACTGCCCCCGAAGGAACCCTCCCATCGAGAAGCACCCCCTTTTCACCAAGCGGCCATCCGCGCAGCCTCAGAGCAAGTTCTTTGAGCTGCTCTGTTGAGAATACACTTCTGATGCCTTGTACGCTTTGCCTTGCTTGCTCATAGGCATTCCCTGCCCCACCGACTGAGAGATCAGTCCACGATTGCAACGCTTGGCATAGCAACTCGAGCATGTGTGACAGACCCTCTATTGTGAAAGTCCCTGGATCATATGCAAATGCAGTGATGCAGGGGCCATGTCCATGTGGCGACCAATGCAGCCTGTGAACCAGGTCATGCACCAAGTCCTTGAAGCTGTTCACTGAATAGCCATTGAGCTCGTCCGAAAGCTTCCAAAAGGTTTTCATCAGCAGCTCATCCAAGGCAACCTCCTTGGGGCGCTCCATGTATTGGCCTCACTGCAAAAGTATGCAGCTTGGGATCCACCAACAAGCACCATGGCCCAAGTTCCTCAAATCCTTCGGACTCCGTCGAAACGCAAAGACATTCACAGTTGGACGCTTGGTTAATTCGCCACCATGCTGCATTAGGAAACAAGAAGCTGCAACCCCTTTGCATCAAGGTGAACATCACATCTGATATCGACATGACCGACAAGAGGACCGGTCTAAATGAAGTGCAACAGGCATATCTTGAGTTGGCCTGTTGAGTAACGCTCTGGCGCAAGGAATCAGCTCCCAGAACAACTTACCCATTGCATAACAAGGATCGGGGCAAGGTCCAGGTGGAACATGCAACAAGCTTCAGATCGCATCAAGGTGAAGACAGAGACTATTCGGCTCATGATGTGAAAGTAGCAGGAAGAGCGAAATTGCCAATTGCCCTGCTCCTTTGTTCAGCCTGGTCTGATCCATGCTAACAAGCGTCAATTCGCCGTGATATACTCGGTGGAAAGACCTTCCGCGGAATTCGCGAAGACCGCTTGTAGCAGTCCTATCAGGCACAGCGACAGGATTGACGTATGCCAGCACCTGGATATTTTACAACCTGACACCTCCAGCCGAGGATTGGAAATTTTAAAAACAAGATCCAAGTGGATGGGTTCGGGCCCCAAAATGACCAGGGGCAACTTTTCCGATGTGAACGTCAAATCTTTTCTTGTGGCTTCTCCGATGGTCATCTGGTGCCAAGGACCTTCCTCAGTACCTCTGGTTGATGATGGGGCCTTCGGCGCCAAATTGACGAAGGTGGCATGGGCATCTGAGACGTTGCTTGGTTGGCAAACTTCAGTTGCTGAGTATTTGCGGAGCTCACTCCAGATCCTTCTCGGTTGTTTAGGCCACTCCATGCCTTTCATCTGAACGAATTCTATGATTGTGATTCGCCAAGACACCAGGAAATTTTGGATGAGATCGCGCAAAAACGAGGGTCGCCACTGTCATGCCGGTCCTGGTGAGATGTTGACCTGCTTGGCTCTGAACGCATTCGCCTCTTTCTGGGCAAAACTCTCGTAGCCCAGGCCCGCCGCCATCCACAGCACCGCCTGGACCGGCCATGTGTGCTTTGTGCCTGCCACTCCCCATCGGAAAGCAAGTATATATATATATATATACATATATATATATGTATATGTATGTATATATATATATATATGAATTCTGACATGAGCAGCCCTTGGCTTTGGACAAGTTACATTCACAAGTATGCGAGTGCGTCCCTCGATCCTCCGGCAACGAAGAGTAACTCGACAAGTTTCGAGTGGAAGCCCTCGGAACCGTCGCCTGGAACCCTTCCAGTCGAACCGAAATTGCGGATGTGAGACGCGCCTCACAGGTGCTGCCAAGCCAGGCTTCGCAGCAGCGTTCCGGCGGCACCAAGGAATTCACCTCGCCTGGCAGAGGCGAAAATGGCGTGAAATGGCAATGGCTCAAAAACATGGAGACCAAAATGGCACCTTGGCAAATGGAAAAGACCAAAACCTGCGTAACCCTGGCTCTTTTATGTTGAGCCACACCCAAGTCTCACCCAATGGCTTTCATGATGGAAATGGCGCTTGCATTTGATACTCTAGTTATCTGATTTCAGGACTTCATGATGAACCATAAGCTGGCCGAGGTTATACAACAACATACAAATAACATGTAATACTGCACAGTTGTACTGTAAGGTCATACCAGCTGACTGCTTTCTCTCTCTCTCTCTCTCTCTCCCTCTACGGGTTGTCAACAGAGATTGTGTAAACAAATATCCGTTTGAGAAGCGCCTGAGACCCTTCGATTCTTGGTGCTAGCAGCATGACTGTACATGACAACTAGGCCCTACTATACAGGTAGCAGAACCACTTAGCACGTTCGATGCTCAGACGTTCCTTCTTGGCAGAGGCTGAACCAAAAAAACACGTGCGGGGAGTGGCTCTTGCCAGCCACTCATTGCAAGTGCAACGCAAGTACCGCGACAAGTCTGAAAACAAAGCGATTTCGCACGAAACATTGGCGCGAGCCTATGAATCACACACTTAAAACCGATCGGTATTAAAAGAGGCGATCCAACCACAGCCATGCTTCCAAAATTGAAAAGGCGGTCGGCTGTCCGGCACCTGTTTGTGGCAAGGGTTGTCCCCGGCTACCCTCCAATTTTGCGCACGTGGCTCACATGAACTCTCTCCCCTTGTCCGGTAGGAGTGCCAGAACTGGCAAAAGCGCTGGCGAAATCTCCAACCACCTGGAATGATTCAGCTCTGCCAGTCCTTCTGCCAGTCAACCGGCAGGAAAAAAATACCAAGTTCCATCCCAGCGGAAGCAAGACCCTCAAAAAGATCGAAGCTGCAACTCACCTGAGTCACAATCAAAACCCGGTACAAAAATGGTCGATCCCCATGTAAAGAGCCAAGAAGGCGGATCTCCGCAGCGATTTCTGGCAAGGGGATCGTCCTTGACCAACCTTCCCCGACTTTTGAGGACGCTGACTCACCTGGACAAGGGCGACTTGAGTTCGATTCCGGCCTTGGAGGATCACCAGGAACACCTTGAAGGTGTCTTGCAAATGCAGCGCAATCTCAAAGGCCACGTTGGCGCCGCTGAAGTGCCCCACCAGCGCCACCTGCAGCGCGAGAGAAAGGCGCAAGGCTCCGGCGAGAAGCTGCTCATGAATGGGGAACCAATGAACGTGGCACCGTTTGACGTTTTGGGGGGTCCTAGCTTGGACGAGTTTCCTTTCAAAGGGAACCCCGAACGTCAGGTCCCGTGTTGATTGACGGGAAGGTACCACTTTTCATGGAATGTTGATAGGAGATGTCAGCGTGCTGCTATGTGCTCTGGGAACGAGTTCTTTGGTAGGTCCTTTGGGATGATGGGTTGACGCTTGTCCGTAACCCAGAGATGACAATGAGCTGTTGGCTGCTGCTGCTGCTGGCAGTTTGATCTCAAGGGATGGGGAGGCGACTCCTCGAATGGGATGGGTAGTTGCAGCTCAAGCTTGTCTCCAGTTGTTTGTTGTCCAGTACACATTGTGAACATTGCGATGCACCCAACCCTCCCTGCCTTGCTGAACCTGCTGTGGCTTTCCTCCTTGCAATATGCCGTCACATTTCAGAACACAGTTGCTCAACAGCATCTTTGACTGCACTGGCAACCCATTGTTCCTAATTTGAGGGCGGAAACTTTGTGTTGGCCATAGGTCCTTGGGCCTGCACAAGAAAGGTTTCAGGACTGAAAGACGAATCGGAGCTTAAATAGATTCCTGTGGTTGGATTCAACATGTCAAACAAGACTGGGTAAGATCAAATGTCCGCCCCCTTTTCCGCGTGGCTTGAGATCAATTGCCCCTAAAACTCCGTGACCATATGGCCCGAATGCCTTTGGCCATCTGGCAACACATTCAACTTCGCATAGATCTGGGTGTGTGACAAACTCAGGGACCCTTCTTCAAGTGGCTGTAGCCATCCAAAAGGATCCCGATTTTCAGCTACCCATGGAGGCCCCGCATGGGAGTCCCGGTCGGCGACTCCCGCGCAGCGCGGTCCTGGTCGCGCAGTATGCGCTTCACGAAGACCGCCGCCAGGTCCATCAGCGTGGTCTGCTTCAAGGCCTGGCGGTCGTGAGTCCCGGATTCTTATGCCCGAGGAGACTTCAGGGGAGGAGTTCGTTCAGGTCGACCAAAAACATACAACGAGAGCCCTGAAAAAGGGGCCATGCCCGTGCTCAAAGAAAAAACAATCATTGAAACCATCAAGACCAGTGTTGGAGGAAGGGAACAAAAAAACAAAGGCCAAGCAAGACATCGATGTCTGGACAGCTTTGTTACGACTCATTGTTTATGTTCATATGCTTCGGTAGGCGTTGAGCCATCCTGATCGTTCCAATTCATCGAAGGGAAAACGGCCGGGCTGCAAAGCTCATAGCTCCTGTCATACTCGACCTTGCTGGGCAGACAGCAACGAAACGCAATAATCTTCCAGAAGCCAATGCAGCCTTATGACATCGGCATTGTGCTGACCAAGCAGACTCGCAAAATCATAAGATGGTTTGATGCAAAAGCTTAAACACCAAAATACACAAGGAACACCCACAGAAATAGGGTAGAACAAAAAAAAACAAGATCACCAAAAAAAAGCAGGGCAACCTTTCCCATATGTTCCTTTCTGTGTGTTCTCAAGGTTTTGTTGATTGAGGGGGTGCACCAACCACGCTTCACAACAGCTTTCCAACCACGACAGAAACTGTTCCTACCACGACTCGGAATTATTTTTCTTAACACGAAAAAAATAATAATAATAATCACGATAAGCTCAAAAAGCGGATCCTTCCTTCCTTGAAACAGGCCTCCCTCCTTCTCCTGCTTCCTTCCTTCTTCCTTCTTCTCTTCTTCCAACAATGGACGGTTGATTAAAAGAACGTGTGTTTTGCTTTTTTGGGGGGCCAAAAAGCTCAAAACACACGTTCTTTGAAACAGGGCCCCAGAAATGGACGGCTGTTCCAAAGAATGTGTGTTTTGCAGTTTTTGGGGGGCCAAAAAGCTCAAAACACACGTTCTTTGAAACGGCCCCAGAAAGTTCAGGAGCTTTATAAGGAGCTTTGTGAGGAGCTCTTTCAGGAGCTGTATTTGGAGCTTTATAAGGAGCCGAGAAAGCTCAAGAGCTCTCTAAAAATCTGTGTGAAGAGCTTTATAAGGAGCTTGTAAGGAGCTAATGGACGGCCGTTCCAAAGAACGTGTGTTTTGCAGTTTTGGGGGGCCAAAAAGCTCAAAACACATGTTCTTTGAAACAAGGGCCCGGAAATGAACGGCTGTTCCAAAGAACGTGCTTTGCAGCTTTTGGGCGCCAAAAAGCTCAAAACACACGTTCTTTCCCTAGAAAGATCAGGAGCTTTATAAGGAGCTTTGTGAGAAGCTCTTTGGGGAGCTGCATTTGGAGCTTTATAAGGAGCTTGTAAGGAGCTAATGGACGGCTGTTCTAAAGAACGTGTGTTTTGCAGTTTTTGGGTGCCAAAAAGCTCAAAACACAAGTTCTTTGAAACAGGGCCCCAGAAATGAACGGCTGTTCCAAAGAATGTGTTTTGCAGTTTTTGGGGGCCAAAAAGCTCAAAACACGCGTTCTTTGAAACAGGGCCCCAGAAAGTTCAGGAGCCTTATAAGGAGCTTTGAGCTTGTAAGGAGCTACTGGACGGCTCTTCCAAAGAACGTGTGTTTTGCAGTTTTGGTGGCAAAAAAACTCAAAACACACGTTCTTTGAAACAGGGCCCCAGAAAGTTCAGGAGCTTTATAAGGAGCTTTGTGAGGAGCTCTTTCAGGAGCTGTATTTGGAGCTTTATAAGCCGAGAAAGCTCAAGAGCTCTCTAAAAACCTTTGTGAAGAGCTTTATAAGGAGCTTGTAAGGAGCTAATGGACGGCTGTTCCAAAGAACGTATGTTTTGCAGCAGGTGTATGAGGAGCTTTGTGAGGAGCTCTTTCAGGTCAAGAGCTCTCAAAAAAAATTGTGAAGAGCTCTATAAGGAGCTTGTAAGGAGCTAATGGACGGCTGTTCCAAAGAACGTGCGTTTTGCAGTTTTTAGGCGCCAAAAAGCTCAAAACACACGTTCTTTGACACGGGGCCCCAGAAATGGACGGCTGCTCCAAAGAACGTGTGTTTTGCAGTTTTTGGGTGCCAAAAAGCTCAAAACACACGTTCTTTGAAACAGGGCCCCAGAAATGAACGGCTGTCCAAAGAACGTGTGTTTTGCAGTTTTTGGGCGCCAAAAAAATCAAAACACACGTTCTTTGAAACAGGGCCCCAGAAAGTTCAGGAGCCTTATAAGGAGCTTTGAGCTTGTAAGGAGCTACTGCACGGCTCTTCCAAAGAACGTGTGTTTTGCAGTTTTGGTGGCAAAAAAACTCAAAACACACGTTCTTTGAAACAGGGCCCCAGAAATGGACGGCTGCTTCAAAGAACGTGTGTTTTGCAGTTTTGGGGGGCCAAACAGGGCCCCAGAAATGGACGGCTGTTCCAAAGAACGTGTGTTTTGCAGTTTTTGGGGACCAAAAAAAACAAAACACACGTTCTTTGAAACAAGGCCCCAGAAATGGACGGCTGTTCCAAAGAACGTGTGTTTTGCAGTTTTTGGGCGCCAAAAAGCTCAAAACCCACATTCTTTGAAACAGGGCCCCAGAAATGGACGGCTGTTCCAAAGAACGTGTGTTTTGCAGTTTTTGGGTGCCAAAAAGCTGAAAACACTCGTTCTTTGAAACAGGGCCCCAGAAATGGACGGCTGTTCCAAAGAACGTGTGTTTTGCAGTTTTTGGGCGCCAAAAAGCTCAAAACACACGTTCTTTGAAACAGGGCCCCAGAAATGGACGGCTGTTCCAAAGAACGTGTGTTTTGCAGTTTGTGGGCGCCAAAAACAACAAAACACATGTTCTTTGAAACAGGGCCCCAGAAAGTTCAGGAGCTTTATACGGAGCTTATAAGGAGCTTGTAAGGAGCTAATGGACGGCTGTTCCAAGGAACGTGTGTGTTTGCAGTTTTTTGGAGCAAACAAGCTCAAAACACACGTTCTTTGAAACAGGGCCCCAGAAATGGACGGCTGTTCCAAAGAACGCGTGTTTTGCAGTTTTTGGGTGCCAAAAAGCTCGAAAACAGGGCCCCAGAAATGGACGGCTGTTCCACAGAACGTGTGTTTTGTAGTTGTTAGGCGCCAAAAACTCAAAACACACGTTCTTTGAAACGGGGCCCCAGAAATGGACGGCAGTTCCAAAGAACGTGTGTTTTGTAGTTTTTAGGCGCCAAAAAGCTCAAAACACACGTTCTTTGAAACAGGGCCCCAGAAATGGACGGCTGTTCCAAAGAACGTGTGTTTTGCAGTTTTTGGGGAAATGGACGGCTGTTCCAAAGAACGTGTGTTTTGCAGTTTTTGGGTGCCAAAAAGCTCAAAACACACATTCTTTGAAACAGGGCCCCAGAAATGGACGGCTGTTCCAAAGAACGTGTGTTTTGCAGTTGTTGGGCGCCAAAAAGCTGAAAAACGTTCTTTGAAACAGGGCCCCCGAAATGGACGGCTGTTCCAAAGAACGTGTGTTTTGCAGTTTTGGGGGCCAAAAAGCTCAACATATACATTCTTTGAAACAGGGCCCCAGAAAGTTCAGGAGCTTTATAAGGAGCTTTGTGAGGAGCTCTTTCAGGCATAAGGAGCTTGTAAGGAGCTAATGGACGGCTGTTCCAAAGAACGTGTGTTTTGCAGTTTTTGGGGCAAAAAGCTCAAAACACACGTTCTTTGAAACAGGGCCCCAGAAATGGACGGCTGTTCCAAAGAATGTGTGTTTTGCTGTTTTTGGGGGCCAAAAAGCTCAAAACACACGTTAATTGAAACGGCCCCAGAAAGTTCAGGAGCTTTATAAGGAGCTTTGTGAGGAGCTCTTTCAGGAGCTGTATTTGGAGCTTTATAAGGAGCCGAGAAAGCTCAAGAGCTCTCTAAAAATCTGTGTGAAGAGCTTTATAAAGAGCTTGTAAGGAGCTAATGGACGGCTGTTCCAAAGAACGTGTGTTTTGCAGTTTTTGCGGGCCAAAAAGCTCAAAACACACGTTCTTTGAATCAGGGCCCCAGAAATGGACGGCTGTTCCAAAGAACGTGTGTTTTGCAGTTTTGGGGGGCCAAACAGCTCAAAACACACGTTCTTTGAAACAGGGCCCCTGAAAGAGCTCCTCACAAAGCTCCGTATAAAGCTCCTGAACTTTCTGGGGCCCTGTTTCGAAGAACGTGTGTTTTGAGCTTTTTGGCGCCCAACAACTGCAAAACACACGTTCTTTGGAACAGCCGCATGGACCAAAATTATTTATTGTGGTATGAACCTTTTTGATTTGTCGTGGTATGAAGCTCAATTATTTATCGCTGTTATTTTTGTTTTTGTCGCTGTTATTGAAGTCTTGTCGTGGAAGGTACCTCCCCTGTTGTTGATTTGTGCGGTGTTCCTCGAGTTGCTTCTGTTGTATTTTAAGGCTGTGTGGCAAACAAGAACTCCAGGTGTTGTTGTTTTTGTGCTTGGGCCAGGAAACCAGAAAAACAGGCGTGTGTTTGTTTTTTCCAGTGCGACCATGAGAAAACGCGAAAGGAAAAAAAACAAAGAGGTGGTTTTGCAGTTTGGTCCGAGACCCGCAGAAACACAAATAACACGGAAAACAAAAAAGGAGAGCATCAACACAGCTCAGGCAATTTCTCGCACATGTTGTTATTGTTCTAGAGTCTTTGTTGTTGTTGGTGTTCTTCGAGTTTGTCCATTTGTGCTTGTTCACTTATTTGACAGTTGTGTTAAAGCCAAATACACATGGTACAGTCCAAGAATAGCTAAAAACTCCTAGTATTTCAAGGTATGCTATGGGGAAAACGTTCGCTTGCAAGGTAAACCAAACAGAGCTACACCATGCTGATGCACATGCACAACTGTGAGAAGAGGATGCTTAGCATGTTCCTATACAACAAGGGCGGGGGGGGGGGGGTAGTGGATATGTGTGTTTGGATCATGGTAGTTGTATGCGTGCGATGTAAATATGACGTTGGTTTAGGCTTCCGGAAATAAGTATCACAAGCTATTCAATGGCCAAATAGAACTGTGTTTGATGTTGTCAACACGCGTATGAAACAATATAACTCGCCTATGGAAAAGTATTGGACATCAGAATGACATTCATCTAAAGACGGAAACTATCCTTGACAAACAGGATGACAACCAAATAGAATGAAATAGTTCAAGGCAAATCGGATATGGTCTTTTCGCCGGATGAGCCGAGCCCAAACCCGAAAAAACCGAACAACAACCGGTGGACAAATATACTCAGACAGTCTTGCCATTGGATCAGTACCAAAACCAAGTACCCACAACAACCTTGAGAAAGCCAAGAAAACAAATGTTGGGAAAACACATTCCTCCAGAATTCTTGGCAGCGTGATGGCTAATAGTTGACAGACTGTCTGAGGGATTTCATTTCTTTGTTGCTTCTTGTTGTTCATGGTTTTGGTTGCTTACTTTTCCCAAGTCTGGTTTGTTGCTGTCTTGGGCTGGTCTGATACAGTTGCAAGACTCTCAAAGGATCCTTTTTTGCGGAGTGGTTTGTTGACGTGCTCGAGGTTTGCTTGGTTTAAGACTCCTGCATCTTAGTTTTGGTTTACACCGTATCTATGAGCACACAGGGGCACAGCAAGAGCAGGAAATACGTAAGTGCACCGGAACGGTGGAACACACTGCAATTTACAGAAAACCATTGGACAATGGATTTCTGTAGTTACAGTGTCAAAAGCCGGTTGCAATTTAGAGTCTCAAAAAAACACCTGGACAAAATGGATTCCTGCAGGCAGGCCTCATCGTCAAAGTCCAGCAACCGGCAGGTGGCACATTTTACCGTCTCTGCCACAAGGGCAAGATGGCCGAACATGTCGCCGTCGCATCCTAAGCGTGCCCTGTCAAATCCACAAAACGCGCATGATAACCGTTTTCTAGATCGACGTGTCAAACAAGACTGGGTGAGATCAGATGCCCCTTTTTCCTGGGACACCATGTAGGCAGTTGTTGCATTTGCCATGGAATGCTGGCCCCAACCTGTTCTTCCCCTCGGTGGTTTGTTTTTTAGTCATCTTTCAGTAATCTTTGAATATCCGACAGGGTGAATCCACAGATTCGCCACATCCAAACCGTTTTCTAGAGTTCGGCTTCCATAGCCAGAATCAGGTTGTCATGAGAATGAGATTGAGCTCAGAAAAGTCTACCCCAATGCCATGGATGGCTTTCTCTCTCATGGCTGAATCCATACTGGATGGTTGCAAAATCCGCTTCTCACACGTCAGAAATTGCGTGGTCCAGCAAAACCAGCAAAACCTTCGATGGCTTCAAAGTTTCAAAGGGACCCCCAACATGGAGTCGGTTTTCCGCTTGGTGTCCCGTTAACATCAACCAAAAAAAAACAACTGCACACCCATACCAACCAAGGCCGGAGGCCGAGGCGCCAGGTATCAAGTACACCGCCGTCTTCTCCGAGGGCCTTGCGAAAGTAGGTCTAAGAACCGGACTCTTGCCATCCACCAAACCCGCTTCGGTAGGGACTCTGAGAAATGTGGAGCCTGAATTTGTTTTTTTTGGGGGGGACTGGGTTGTTCAACTTGCTGGTGCGATTTGGGAATGACAATTTAAATGAACCTGGGGATTCTCGAATAAAGGAAACCACCAGTTGGATGCCCTGCCTATCGCACCAGCAAGCCAACAGCTCGCGGCTTGGGGCTGGAAACCTAACTAAGGACTCAGGAGCTCAGCCAGCTGGCAAAGCGAGCCAAGTGAGGACTCGCTGAAGAGGTGGTCAACCTATCTGAGTCATAATCAAAACCTGGTACAAAAATGGTCGACCCAGAACCATGCTTCAAGAATTAAGAAGCCGGATATCCGCAGCTATTTGTGGCTGGGATTCTCCCTTACTACCCTCCAATTACCCGGGTTTTGATTGTGGCTCATCTTGCGTAATGTGTCCAAGTGCTGATGCAACAAAACAAACCCGAGGTGAAGACGAGTCGGGGAGGAGGGTCTAGGATCTAATCGAGGGCAACTTGCAATCATTCCAGCTCCACAATATGGCTGTGGGTGAGAAATAGGTACCCAAAATGGAACCCTGGCAAATGGAAACATGGCCTAAAACCTGCGGTCCCCTGTTGGTTTAATTTTGACCCATACCCATGTGGCAACATTGGGGATGCAAAGGAACTGGGAGATTGATTGGTGTTTGCGGCTGAAGGTGCAGAGTTGTGCTTGTTTGAGCTTAAGTTGGGCAAACACACTTAGCCATCACGATACATCCCAGTCAACCTATGCTGTACATATGCCTCTCATGCCATGAAATGTGACTGGATTGGGCTGTCTAGTCCAAGAACCAGGTCCTCAGAAACTGCCGCAACTCGTAGCTTTGGGTCTTGGGCGTTGCGAGCCGCAAGATACGGTCGCATTTTATCTTGGCTTCTGGTGACCCCCCTGCAAGAAGCTTGTCTTTTTGGGGCTTTGGTGGAAAACACCTTTCTTTCCCAAAAACTTCAAGTCTAAAGATCCAACCCAATAGCAGTCAAGTTTTTTGCCTCGGGCTCCAAGGGCGCCAGACGCGGATCTCGAACGCTTTGCGCCAAGAGCCCGGCGCGGGTGCCGCCGGAACCGCCGAAACCGCATTGTCAAGGGCTAGAAGCCCCGGCGCAGGCGCCTGCCGAAATTGGCTGTGGCTCAAAAAGCCAGTACCAAAATGGGTTGCCCTGGTAAGTGGAAACATGGACCAAATCCTGCGCCTGTTTAATTTTGAGCCACACCCAATTGACCAAAGCTCCATGGGGGGAACAAGTTGATGTTTCCTCTTCTAGATCCGGTGAATTTCCTTCAAGTCCATCTCGTTTCCCTCGCTGGAACCCCCTTCCAGCAGGCTAAACGCATACCAAGACAAACGCCGCTTCTCACTCAAACGACTCATACAGTGTTGTCCGTGCTGCTGCTTCACAATTATTATAAACCAAATAAGCATCGTCACCCTGCGATACGTAGACCAAAGAATGCATGCACATTTCCTCAAGACATTGACTGAGATTGATGTCATGATCCCACAGGCCGGCATGAGCGAAATTCCAATATGTTTTGCCGCAGAAACTGACAAATGCGGGCATTTCTAGACAAATCGAATGAAGCCTCAAGCTTGGAACTTCACGGCAAACTTAGGGTCCTGTGCTCCGAAGAGGAGCTCAGAGACGTGGCGCACAATGTCCTCGCCCGAGTCTACCTTGGAGCACGGCCAAACCAAACCTAGATGTTTGAGCGGTGCCTGTCGGCCTGCGCGAGCTGAAAGAGTCTAAAGCACCAAAACATCCAAGGCCATCTAGTCATTTTTTATGAGCCCGGATCATGCGCAAGCATCAATGCCATGTCACAGAGAATCGTCGAGCTCAGGAACTGCTCATATGATTCACAATCAAAACCTGGTACAAAAATGGTGAACCCCGAACCATGTAAAGAATTAGAAAGGCGGCCGCAACTATTTCCGGCACTGCCCCTTACTAACCTTCATCTACCCGGGTTTTGATTGTGGCTCATATCGTCATCTGGGCATCCACACCGTGTAGGGCTCGTTGATCTGGCTCACGCGCACCGTGAGGTTGGCAAGGTAGGACCCAGCCCTCTCTGCAAGGATGTCAATGGGCAAAGAAGTGGGAGCTGCATGAGAGAAGTGGGAGCTGCTGGATGTCAATGTTAACGCTTGAAGCCTTGAACACCAAAAATGTGCTTGAGAGAGACAGAGAGAGAAGAGAGAACTTGCTCCTGCATATCAATCACCCAGATCTAAGATGGTGAACCTCCTGAATCCAAGCGACAAAGTTTGACATGGAAAGAAAGCACGTGAACTGGGTGTCGAAGGTGAGTTTTGCCTTGGTAGCATTGGAGCGGTGAGTGGACATCCATGATGATGATTCACAATGACGACTCGTGATGATGAAAACATGAAGGGGAGAAGGGAAGGAGAAGGAGGAGGAGGAGGAGGAGACCAACAATGGTATCCAATGGATTCACAGTGGGGCGAAATGGAATTTGTCAAACCACAGTATCAATTACAACGCTGCTGGCAGTGAGGTCATGGTAAACAGGGAGGGGCAACAAGAAGCAAAGATCAGAGTGCAGCATCTGCCTCTAAGGTAGGAGGAGGTTTGGTAGGACAAGAGTCTGTGGAAGCGACACATCAAATGAGTGTACTAGTATCCAGTATCCATTTGCAAATTCTACAATACTTCCCAAACCTGAAATAAGGAATCTGCAAGTAAAGGGCCTTTTTCCTGGCTTGAGCTCTCTATACCCTCGAATCGGTGAGCTCGCCATAAATTATGCAGATCCATTTGAGAATCAGCATGCAGTCAACTCTGCGGACAAGAATAGGCTCCCCGCATCTGCATACGCTCCAATCGCTCTGAACCTGGCTGTGCTATTTCTCAGCTCTACCAATCGGGTGCGTGTCAAAACTAAAAAAAAAAAAAATCGCGCAACTTGAACATCCCCCGAAAAAAAAGAAAGCTTCCCCTTTCAGCGGGTTAAATGGACCCTCCCCCCCCGAGAAACCAACCGATTTTTTTTTCGTCTCAAGACCCCAGGAACCGGAGGGGAAGTGGGCCAAGTCCGCGCCTGTCACGATGAGGGCCTTTCCCTGGAAGACGCCAGGCGGATGCCACAGGGAACCCTGGCACAGGGAACATCACACAGCTTTGATCAAGGAAAAGGTGTGCAAACGGAGCTAGGGAGCTATGAGATGTTGTAACAAGCGCAAAAAGCAAACAAGCGACGTTTACCAAGCACTCTGAGGCCTGGCACGAGTTCCTCCAGACATGTCGCTCACACAAGCTGGCCAAGCGTGAGCCAGGTATTCAAACTGGTCCTATCGCGAGCGGTTCATCTGATGCACGCATGTATTTGCTTGATTACAAGTGCTATCAGGTTGCAGGTTGTGAACAGCGACATGCCACGCTTGGGCTCACATCTGGGGCGATGGCATTCTTTGGCCGCATCAGCTGCCCTCAGTGGCAATGCCATCGATGTCTTCGGAATCCCAGACTCTGGTCCGTCTTGCTCCCAGCATCTTTCAAGGACGGTACACTCTCGACAAATCCAACCGTACATTGCCCACTCTCTTCAGAGATCCTTCCAAAAAATTGCCAATCCCCAGCAGAAAAAACAACTAGTGGTTTCCAACGAGAACGAGGGGCGAAGAGAATGAGCACATGGCTGCGGGTCAAAAATGGGTACCCAAAATTCAACCTTGGTAAATGGGAATATGAACTAAAATCTCAGAGGTCCCCTGGTTTAGTTTTGACCCACAGCCACATTAACCTCTCGAACAAAGAACACACTCGCACCGCCCCCTCGCGCTCCGCGTCGCGCTGAGCAAGTCGCTGAGCCGATGGGCGTTGGAACTCGCCAAACTACACACGCAGCGGAAGGCCTGAGGAGCTCCATCCGTTGACCAAAAAAGCGTATCAGCTCGCCAACCCCTCCAAAATGCTGGGGTTCCTGTTGGCTTTCCTTTAAACTTTACACCACCCCCCCCCCAAAAAAAAAAAAAGAAGGCAATTCCCAACCCACAAGAAAGATGAGAACAGAGCCATGGAGCCGCGGCATTCGGACATTCGAACATCACTTCAACTCGAGTCCAAGATGTACATGTGGCGGTGGATCAAAAAACCGGTACCGAAATGGGTTGCCCTGGTAACGGAGACATGGACCAAAACCTGCGGTTTGCCCCTCCTGTTTAATTTTGAGCCACACCCATGTGGCTGTGGATCAAAACCCAGTGGTACTGGTGAACATCAAAATATGTCGTACATGGGTGTTCATCCGCCCCAAAACGGAGGCATAGGTTATGACCCATGGCCATGTCATTTCGTCAGCCACTTGCTTTCATGGATATGGATTTCCTCATCGAAGGTCCTAAGAAAACGGATCTCAATGGAATGGTGGCTTAGGCATGTATGTTTCTCAGCTGCCGCTGGGGTAACAGGCTTCCAAGTTTGACTGGTGCTTGCAATTCGCCAACATGACGGAAGTTTGTGTGTGTTCAATGCAGCGAAGCCAGAGCAACGCAAAAGCGGAGAGGGGTCAGACAACCCTCTCGCAAAAACAAACGCCAATAAATGGCTGTGGGTCAAAAATATGTACCCCAAATAGAACCCTGGTAAATGGAAACATGGACTAAAACCTGCGGTCCCCTGGTAATCTAATTTTGACCCATACCCAAATGAATTTGTGCAATCAGCACGCTAAGTTCACATTTCCGTGATTGCAGCTGGCCTTGACGAAGAAGAAAAGCAAAACATGGGCCTCATGTCAAAGGTCTCAGTAAAATGAAGAACCCCCACACCCACAAAGGCTCTCGAGTCCGTCCTTGTCAAGCACTTTGCAGAAAGAGTAAAAGTAAACCTGGGTCTGCCAGGGCTTCGCATCTGCGTTCCTCTAATAGAAAAAACCCTGAACTGCACGCCGGTGAAAGCCTGGTTGCCTCCGTTGGCCACATATGGCTTTGGCTCAAAATCTGGTACCAAAATGGAACCCTGGTAAGTGGAAACATGGACCAAAACCTGCGTAACCCCTCCTGTTGAATTTTGAGCCATATCCATATTTGGCCCTCGCCGCGAAGCCGTGCATCAGGTCGGCCAGCCGGCCTTCAGGGAGAAGATGCCCAATGCTTGCAGCTTGCCAGCGCACTCGCCATAGCTGGCGGTCTGCAGCCTTGCGCATGCGGTCTGCCCAACGTGACCAGCTGACCTGGAAACATGTGTGGCGCCTGCGGTTGACCTGTCGCTGCGTTGACCCATCGCCATTTCGTAGACTCTTCAGGCGGGTTTTCCGACGGACCCCATTTCTGGTGGCATTTGATTACCAAACAGAAACAGCAAATGAAACACGGCCCTTCAAACTGCCTCGCAGGCAGCAAATTCCTCCCTCCACTCAACCCACGAGCAAATTTGATCACAGGTTGCTGCATGGTCTCCTAGCTGATAAACAACTTTGGCTGCTAAAGCGCCTCAACTCGTCAGTCAGGCAAGCTCACAGCAACCACTATTGCTATGAGTCTCAACTGAAGCAGATTCTACATGATCTGCTTCCCAGAAAGGGGTAGTCTACTATGGTCAAGAAATCGCTCGGTTCATTCTTTGCTAAAACTATCAAACAACCCCGTCAATCAGCCCCTACCATTGACATTGATGCAACTTGCCCGAGCAGAAATCCTGCATGGCATCAAGCCTCTTGAAGTCGGTTGGCTTTCTTTTTCCCCTCCAAAAAACCATCCGAAAAGTCTAGTCCTACTTTGAGAAACCCCACCAACAAAATATGGGGCAAATGCTACAAACAACAAACACTCCCATATTCTTCGGCCGTTCGCCCCAAAACCCCGGGGACGTTCCAAGACCCAGAGCCGTCGGCCCGACGGCGCTTGCCCCGCTTGCCCGGCCTGGCGGCGCCCTCTGGAAAGCCGGCCGCAATCGCGCGCTCCACCTGACACCGAGACCCACGGTCGCCCCTTGGGGCCTGGGGCCTCCAGCGAATCTGGTGATTCCAGCCGCCTTTCCAGTGCGACTGGGGGCTCTTTTTTTTTGTCGGCGGAGGGAAAGAAACAGGTGACAACATTTCAGGAATCCTTTGGAGTGATCCACCCGACGACTCCTGGGTCATCTGTAAGAACCAACTCTACGACTCTGCGCTGTCACCGCAGGACTCGCCATGTCCATTCTTTGGGCTGTCTAATCAGCTGATGATAGCCATGGCCGCCACGGCAGCTGCAGGGCGCAATTGTTTAGAGAGCAGGACGCTGTGGGAGTGTGTTTGTTTGTACATTTCAAGCTGTATGAAGTATTGGAATTTGGCTACCCCCTCACATACACTTACAGAATTCGAAAGAGAGCGCGAGACACTGTGAGTGTGTTTCTGTTCACATGTTGAATGGAAATTATAGATTATGGTTGAACGAAGAAGAGAAACATGTGTGCTTAAATGGTAAATGATTTGTATATAAATCCTTTTGGACAAAACATTATGTGTGCATTATAAACTAAAATCGCATATTATCTAGCATAAAGCAGAATTTTGATTGGATTCTTTCCTTGCCATGTTGTTTAAGCTTTAATTCAATTGTAAGGTTCTCTTGGGAAAGGTCATGTAGGAAAATATTTTCCAGTAGGAGTATGATCAAGTATTGCCTTTTTGAGTCCCATTTACATCATATTCGAAGTCAAAATGATGTTTAGAGAGCGGGCATTGGTGGAGATGTGAATTGCGTACGAAAAACGCTACAAAACACTGTGTTTTCTGACCATGGTAGCGCTGTCGTTGTTTGGGTCCTCGACTTCTTTCCTTATGAATTCTACTTAATATCTTATCAAGTTCTACTCAGCCTCTAACTGAAATTATTATCAGGATTCCATTCAGATTATCTGTTTTGACTTAGAAATCAAACAATGTTGATTCTATGTCAAATTCAATGTCATACAGGAGTTCATTGCCCATAGAATTGGCTTTAGAAATCAGAAACATTTAGGCACAATTTATTCAACAAGTTTGGGATGTTTGAGTTCGTTCCTCATGAATCCTGCTTAATATCTTTATCAAGGTCCATGAAATTTCGAACCGGAATTCAATAGACTTTAATAAGAAAAGAATCCAATCGGAACTTCTATGTTAAGATAGAGTTTAAAGACCGCTTAGTCCATGTCAAATCAAATGTTACAGAGGACGTCCTTTCCAATAGAATTCTTCAAACATATAGACACACTATATTCAAAAACTTTGGGACCTCTGAGTTCATTCAATATATATATGATATGAATTCTACTTGATGTATTTCTCAAGATTCACTAAATGTCTAACTGGCACTAAGAAGGGTTTAATAAGGAAAGAATCCTATCAAAGGAAATCATCTCTAGCCCACTGTACCATGGCTTGGACGTGAATTACACACGTGCACTTGAGCACAAAAGCCCTTGCAAACAGGCCGGAACGGAAATGCCCAAAAAACAACTCGGAAAAACGTCCTGCCCCCTCAAGACAGGACAGCTGACATAGACATTCTTTGTGTTGAGTTGCTTTAACACTTTTTTGGAATGCTGCAAATCTCGGTAGCAGACTATTCCCCCGCAAGTCAGGACAGCTGGCATAGTCTTATTTTGTGGTTGCTAGCTTTTGCATTGTATTTGGGTTTTGTTTTGTGTTCTCGAGTTTGTCTGCTTTCTCTGCCAACACCATCCATCGCAAAAATGTGCACTTCCAGGGCGTCCTCTTTTGAATCTCAAAATGACAAGCAGAACACAAACACACAAACAAAGGGCCACAGACACACACACACATATATCGCACATATATATATAATATATACACACGCACGCACGCACTCACGCACGCACGCACGAACGCACGCACACGCATCCAGCCACCCACCCCTCACGCACCTACACACGCACGAACAACACACATGCGGACACAAACATGGACCGGGAGGCAAGTGCTGACACGCACACACAGGCATGCAATCAAAAATGGAAGCAAGCAATCGAACAAAGAAAGGAAAAGAACAAACACAAAGAAACAAAGAGACAAAGAGACAAAAGCGGGGGAAAAAAAAAAACTAACCAAGGAACAAGCAAGCAAGCAAGCAAGCAAGCAAGCAAGCAAGCAAGCAAGCAAGCAAGCAAGCAAGCAAGCAAGCAAGCAAGCAAGCAAGCAAGCAAGCAAAACAGCAACCAGAGAAACAAAAAGGCAGACAAGCAAAGCTGCTAATGCTACAAAAGCTTGACACCGGCGATAGTGTGTGGTCGCAAGTGGTAACATGGTTATCTGAGCAACTGCAACTGCACATATGTTGGTGCTGTTCTACCCACAAAAATGTGTGGAGTCCCACAATCCTATACTGTTCTTCGAGCTAGGGGTCCGAAACTGGCTCCGGCAATATGTGATGAGATGCCTAAATGCCTCTCAGAGGGCTTTCAAATCGAGACAAGCAAGCACCTGCGTGAGAGCCTGAGGCCATGATAGGCCATGGCTGTCTAAATCCTGTCATTTTCACCGCTCAACGTTCCATCCCTCCGAGCTGAAATCGGCACGAAATCCTTCCCCCCCACTCGCACCTGAAACTGCACAAAGTCCTTGGCCCCCGCCAGATTTGCGAGCCACAGCGTCGCCTAAAACATGGCAGCGGGTGCAGTGTTCTGCAAATCAATAATTTTGAGGCCTTCTTTCCAAGGATGCTCTCCTACACCCTGGGAGTACACCCTTGGGCTTATGTGGGATATTGGATAACTTCCCGAGGGTGCA